CCTAACCCAGGCATCCACCATCCGCGTGGGTTCATTCAATGGGGAGGAAATTTATGCCCCATTCAAAAGCCTCCTTCCTATGGTTACTTCATCTTGCTGAAAAAATTAATTGCTCCCTCTTCTTTTCCTTCTCGTCTTTTATGCTGTGAAATGTTTTGTTCAAACCTAATGTATAATTTGTCTCCAGGTCAACCCTGACGATATTGTGTTTGGAGGATGGGATATCAGTGACATGAACCTGGCCGATGCCATGGCCAGGGCTAAGGTCTTTGACATTGATCTGCAAAAGCAGCTTAGGCCCTACATGGAATCCATGGTTCCACTCCCTGGAATCTATGACCCGGATTTCATTGCCGCAAACCAAGGGGACAGAGCCAACAACGTCATCAAGGGCACCAAAAAAGAACAAGTCCAACAGATTATCAAAGACATAAAGTAACTACAGTACTGTTCTAATAGCTCGGTGGCTTAAAATTAATCAATAGATAATTAAATATATACCAGAAGCCCTTTTTTATTAACTTGCTGAATGGGCCCCCTTTTATGATATGAAGGGACTTTAAGGAAGCCAACAAGGTAGACAAGGTTGTTGTACTCTGGACTGCCAACACAGAGAGGTACAGTAACGTAGTTGTGGGACTAAACGACACCATGGAAAACCTCTTGGCTGCCTTGGACAGGAATGAGCCTGAGATTTCTCCTTCCACCTTGTATGCCTTGGCTTGTGTTCTAGAGAATGTTCCTTTTATCAATGGAAGCCCTCAGAACACTTTTGTTCCAGGTGGACTATTTACTTGCATAATGCTTGTTGATTAGATTCTCAAAAATTAAACCAAGTTTTTGAACTTCGCTTTTGTGCTCATCAGGGCTGATTGACTTGGCCATAAAGAGGAACAGTTTGATTGGTGGGGATGACTTTAAGAGTGGTCAGACCAAAATGAAATCCGTGTTGGTGGATTTTCTCGTGGGGGCTGGCATCAAGGTATAGCACTATAGCAATATCTTTGAAGTTGTTTCTTTAATTGTCTCTCGAGCCAATTGTTTGTCTGTACGGTCGGAGTATGCTAATTCTGTATATCTGCCAAACGAAAAGTGTACTTATTTCAAACGTGTTGATGACTGATAGCCGACCTCAATTGTGAGCTACAACCATCTGGGAAACAATGACGGGATGAATCTCTCAGCTCCACAAACCTTCCGCTCCAAGGAAATCTCTAAAAGCAACGTCGTGGATGATATGGTCAACAGCAACGCCATCCTCTATGAGACTGGCGAGCATCCAGATCATGTCGTCGTTATTAAGGTAACCTTTGCTTCAGCCTTCTTCGCCCTACTTCTCTACATTCGTCGTCTGCCATGCTTAATTCTTTGGTTTAATTTGTAACTTGTGTAGTATGTACCCTACGTGGGCGACAGCAAGAGAGCTATGGATGAGTACACTTCAGAGATATTCATGGGTGGAAAGAACACAATCGTGATGCACAACACATGCGAGGATTCTCTGTTGGCTGCTCCTATTATCCTAGATTTGGTCCTTCTTGCGGAGCTTAGCACTCGAATTCAGTTCAAGGCTGAAGGAGAGGTCCGTTTGCCTTCATTAATTACGTCAAATTTATGTTAGCGTCCAAGCAGTTTTATTTTATACGCTGCCTTACTAATGCAGAGTTGGCTATGGGTTTTTCAGGGTAAGTTTCACTCGTTCCACCCAGTTGCTGCCATTCTCAGTTACCTCACCAAAGCTCCTCTGGTGAGTCTTACTCTAGTATAGCTTTTCTTTCTTCAACCTTTTCATTGCAGATTTTACTCTATTATATCCTCAAAAATTGGAGGGATAAAATGAATGGTGTGTGGCCATGGATAACAGGTGCCCCCGGGTACACCAGTGGTGAACGCATTATCAAAGCAGCGTGCTATGCTGGAAAACATCATGAGGGCTTGCATTGGTTTGGCTCCTGAGAACAACATGATTCTGGAGTACAAGTGAAGCTTGATTCGATTGGAATCAGGGGGTAGTTCGGAAATTGATTCCCCATCTGTCTTATACTAAATATGTCTGTTACTGAATTTACAAATGTAATATTTTGGCAGGTGCACGTTTGACTGTCTTTTGCTTCCCTTTTCTTCTCCCATATGAGAAGGGTTCTTCTTGTGTAGCTTCTCTGCTTGCTGCTATTCCTAATCCAGTAATTTGAGAGCAGGCAATCTTTTGTATTCTAAGTAGATGAAATATAAATCGAGGTTTTAATTGTTTCTCAGCTCTTAATATCAAATGTATACAATCTCCTTTCTCTTCCCCATTCTATCCACTGACATTACAGTAGCATTAAAAAATATTTTTAAGTACTTTCTGAACATTAAGGAATTGAAATAAAAAACAAAACAGAGAGATGAAAGTATATAAAATATACGGTAATGATTAATAGAATCTTAAGCGAAAGTAATAAAGGGATTCACTATTCAGAGAGTTTATGCATTAATGTTGAAGTGTAGTTGAGCGGGAATGCCAAAAAATAACAACTGATTTTTTTTCCCCTAAAAAAAAAAGAAAGAAAAAAGAAAAAAGAAAGCTTGGAAGGTGCTTGGAAGTTTCTTATTTTAAGGTGCAGCGTTATTTTTTCTTGTTTTTGGGCAAAAAGGTGCAGCGTTATTTGAGTCCACGGGCTTGGTAACAAAAGTGTACATACGAGAAGACAAAGTGTGGAGTGAAGAAAACGGTTCTTGTCTAGTGGTCCTCCCCGTGCTTTCTTTTCGGCCAAAAATTATTCAGAAGACGCGAAAAAGAAAACAGAAGAATGAAAGGTTAGGAGGCAGGAACCAATGAGATTGTAAGTTTGTAACACACACACGTATTCTGGGATGTAGGAGTGGGGTACTGAATCATGGGTTTTTGGGACCAAAAGACGCCGAATTATGAGCAATGGTTAGAAAAAAAAAAAAAACAAGAACGGTCCCATCAGAAGGGGACCCAATCAACCTGTGATAACAACTAATAACACCCTCCTCGAGGCACCGTCGCCTTAAAAATATAAAAAGTATTAATACGCTATTATTGTCTGGTTTCACTTATTTTTGGTCTTGCTATTAAACTTATTATTCTTTTTTAAACAATCTAATAATATTATTATTATTTAATGTAACAAAAAAAAATTGATTACACCCACGTTTATAAGTAATAAATGATGCAACTCATTTATTAATTTATTTTCAATTCAGGGGAGATATATTAATTTTTAATATATTGTATGAAGTAGAAAATCAATTTTAAGATCTGTTCTACAAATGTTATTTTTACAGTTTTTTTTTAAAATTTAATTCTTTAACTCACTTATCTACTCATATGCTTTAATTTTGAGATAATTCAACAAAACTAATTTTAAATTTTAATTGAGAAGTCAAGAGTTGATTGAGCAAACAAGAGTTCATCTTCTCAATTTATTTTCTACCTTTTTTTTTTTTAAAAATAAGCTGGTTAACTCACAAATCTGCAGGTTAGCCTATTGCGGATCCAAGTTATGTAGGGACGAATTCAAACTATTCTACATTTAAATGGACTCATTATCTTCAATTCAATCCTATTATATTTTGTGAGTTGAAAATTCAATTCATATTACTAGCTATAAATTATCATGGTTTTGTGTGTCTTGCGCTTCAATATCGGTTTTCACCAATCAACCCCACCAGAAAGGCAAAAGCCAAAACACGTACCCCTCTATTATTGGATTTCCATCACATGCACGTACTTTCCATTGCTGGCGCTCTCGGGCAGTTATTTAGTGAACTTTTGCATAAAGACACCTCGCCCGTTGAAGCAGACTCTACAGTTGTACGTATTTATATCAAACAGGTCATTCTTTACACTAGCATCGACCCACGTTGTTTCAGTTTGCGGGATACATATAAGATATATTAAGTATGCCTTAACAACAGTTCAAAGAGAATTTCAAGTCACGAACAATGCGTTCCCTCCATATATCTGATCATGTCAATATGCTATAATTGGGTCATCGATAGTGTTTCCGCATTCCGGATGCTGAGGCCTTGTTTAAACCTCAGATCACGCAGTTTGTAAACAAGGTATGTTGTGGTGGGCCTTTTGCCTTTTACCTTTTCCCTTTTCCCTTTCAACATCCAATTGATCCTCGTCTGGGATGAGTCTACAAAAAACAAAGTTTCTCTTTGATTATCTTATCTGGTTCATGAATGGTATTGACTCAACTTGATCTTTTATCAAGATTTGTCTCAGAGAACCTCTTCACTCTCTGGGAGGGGAGCAGTAGCCATTTCTGTGTGTCAAAAGGATTCACAAATGATATCACGACACGGTCGCAGTGTTTTTTCCCCAGTTTGTCTGTATATCTATTTCGCCTGAGGAAGGAGATCGACATATCGTAGAGCCAGTGAAACACGCTCATACAAACACTTTTATTTCTCTGTTTCTCTCAGCGAAGGAGGTGGAGAGTCCAAGCTAAGCATGACAATAAGTGGTGATTGTTATTGATAGGAACCTCTTTTTTTTTTTCCCCTTTCCTTTTCAAACAAACGTCCAACCTGAATGGATTTTGTCATAATCTGAATTTCAAAATAAAATTGAAGAGTTTATGCGAATTTTAGAGGCACCACGTTGCGACGGCGATGGGATCCACATTTCTTCAATCATCGAAAAATCCCAAAGGAGTCGGTTTCAGTTACAGGTAATTTTCAGTCTATGACTCTACAAAATGACATCCAAACAAACTGACCTCTCACTGATTCGTCCCTCTGCAATTCCCTATGCCCATTCGGTTTTTTCCCTCCACTTATTATCACAAAAGCTCTTATCACTGGATTGCACAAAATGCTAACACATTCCATCGCTTTCATTTATTTTCTGCCGTGAGTTGTTCCGTTTTGATTCGCTCAAGCGGCGATATAAAGCAACACCAAATCCTTAGGCTTCGCGTCCCAGACTCGTGTTTTTAACCGAGCCAGGAAAGCACTTGTGCAAATGCGCAGGACAGGAATTTTTGAAAAATCGCGTGTATTTTCGAGTGAATTATAAAGTAACATTGTTCTCTTTTTGTAACATATAATTATATATGGATGATACATGGACTTCAATTTTTACAGTGGGCGGTGACTTTATTGCGTAACTTGGTAAGAGAAGTTACAAGCCTTACGGAATGGTCCTAGATAATCCATGGAATGGTTGGAGTGAAAAGCCCATCATCAGGATTATGGATGGGAAGGGAATTCAGTGATAATCTTTTTGTTATGGAGGCCAGGCGAATGGATGCATGGAAGTTGCCGACAATTAGAGCTTGATGTAGTTGCTCTGGATCATCCAATGGAGGCTCCAGTAGTGAGAGTCACATTTGTAGGCCCAATAAGCCCATCCAAAAGTGGCCCGCGAGTACACCTCCACTTGCACCTCTAAAAATCTTTGATGGTCTTCCTTGGACGCGCCCCGAGCCAGCCAGTCACCGCTCCACTCCCCTGCCACCAAAATTACCAAGTTACCCTCCCCCTCACAGCCTTCAACTATATCACAAACGTTGCCTGTTATGGAATCTTACCGACAAAAAGAAGGGGCCCATTAGGTGAGGTCAGAGACCTCACATCAGACGCTCTCTGTTCAGTAATGTAATCAATGTTCTGCTGTGCGTTCATCTTGGAGAAGGAATTGGAAAAAAGATTGTAATAATGCACATCAATAACTGCTCCTTCAAAACCTCCGATGAAAGATAACAGCTCTTTCGAGCTTTTATCCAGCAGACTCGACATGATCACATAAGCACTGCCACTGTGTTTCCGCACAGCATCGTACCCTGCTTCGTAGTACTTCTTCAGGCTGTCCAAATTAATTCCCAGCGGTTCATTCATTAACGCTATTGCCGCCAGGCTCGATCTCTCACCATATCTGCAGATGATGTTTTTCTTTTCGGTGCCTTGAAAAAAGAAGAGAAAACCAATAAACAGCGAAATGAATCCAAGCGCCTACCTTGCAGCTAGGAAGTCGATGACTGATACAGTCTGCGGTATGTAAGAATCTCCCCATTCGCGAGATCCATCTCTGGTTGCACTGTGAGGGTTGCCGTTTTGGGAACCGGGCGCAGCATGCAGGTCCACTATTACTTTCATTCCATACTTTCTGCAAACACAAATAAATATATGAAGCCAATCATAGGGGATGGAGACCTGAGCATTCATTGAAGGACCCGTGAAGAAAAGCAGCTCTGGTCAGTCTTACTTACTGTGCCCATGTGAAGGCATTGTCTAAAGCTTCCAGTGATCCTCCCACGAATGGTTTTGGGGGTGTTGGGTCAAACGCTATCCACCATCCAACTGGAATCCTGACTGCACTTAAACCATTCTCTGACATGAACTTGAAATCTTCCTCAGTTATATACGTGTTCCAGTGATCCTGCACGCCCGATTAATTGGATATCAATTTGCTTCAATCACACTGTTTAATTTGCATAATTATACTAGATGCTTCTATCTGGAAGTTAATATTAACTAAATAGTAGTTAACCTTCAAATGAAATTACATAACATGTAAAAATATTCATTTTTCAAGAAATATCTCACCCGCATGATTTTGGGAGCTCTTTCTGGGCCGTAACCGTTTGTAATTTGGTATTCGCCTTTTATGGTCTTGTCATTTAGAATGGTCATTTTGAATACAGACGGGTTGTCGTCTTCCCAGCCTGATCCTTCATAGTCTGCGGTTACCAGGTTCTCTGAAATAGCCTGAAATGTAAATCAGATCATCACCCCTCTAACCAGAATTATGGAATCATGGTGATGAAATCATTTCAGTTGATTTTTTGGAGCAGACCGGGCACATGAGAATGCGCTACAGAAACAGCACCAGCAAGAGAAACACACTCCGGTAGCAACAAGCAGAGCTAAAGGAAAAGGAAGACAGGGGTACCTGTAAAAACAGGCCGTTTGGCGCAAGGATGCGAATTAAGGTGGGGTCATCTTGGCTTCTTAGAATCTGAAACGTTTCCGAGTCGGTAGGTGAATCTGAATTGGCCACTAGTCTGTTCCCTGCACCTTGGCTTTCTAATCCCAGGAATTGATTGTTGGACACTCTGAAATTGAAAGCCGATTCATTCACCCTCCACAACTGCATGCACGGATCATGGTTATGAAGGAATTCAACGATCCAATTAACGTGTTTGTTAATGTCTGAAAGGTTGAGGAGCCTACCCGGAAAGTTTCCCAACCCGAAGCACTTGTACGGTTGGCGACAAGAGTAGTTCCTCCCCCATTTTCTGGGCAGAGGTACTTCTGCAACTTTGTCGACATCAATTGCACTTGAGTTCCATCCTGGAATGACCACAGTTAAATGAAACCGGCAAGAAAATCTAACCGTAATACTGAGAAGTAAATAATGTACCAGAAGATCCTTGTTGATAATTCCATCAAAGAGAGACGGTTTCATCCAGCCTTCAATGATGAGCCAATTTCCCAGATTCACAGCCCTGAGAGGCGGAGAAGATTGTTGAGAGGAAGAAGGGTAGACGGCCGATAATAATAGAAGATTGAGGTAAAATAACTTGTAACCCATTTTTTCACGATATTAATGGAGTGAGTTCGTTCTACTACATATGAGAAAGTGTACAAATGAAATGTGTATTGCGGAGAGTGGAGTGAGGGGTGAGAGGTGCCTGTAAATGTAGTGGGAGGGTGTGCAGCTTTTTATATGAATTTCTTCTACAAGGTAGGTGGTGCTTCTCTGTGACGTTGATTGTCGTCCTTCCATGCACGGGACCAGCCTACAAATGAGTCATCCAATTAAACCAGTTTCCATTTCTTCCATGAGTGAGGGGCTTTTCAAATACTTGAACTTTTTCTGATTCTGCCGACCATTATTTCGCTTTTCGGGATGACCATCTCTCCTTTTCAGTTTTTCCAAATGCTCATCTCATCGGACCCTGCGTCTTAACCTATCATTCACTTGTAAGTTGTAATCGACGGTATTAACTTTGCATCTTCACTTGCAATTTTATTTTTACACTAGTACAAAGTTGTAATCGACGGCATTAATTTTGCATCTTCACATACAATTTTATTTTTATTTTAATACAATCTTGATTTTGATTTGTTTTGTTCTTGTCTTCAGCTTTTTAAAGTTAAATTATAGATATCACGGCTCAAATAATGAAAACCAGCTTGTAGATGTAATGTTGTTTGGTAATTACGTATTTTTTATTTTTAATGATATCAGAAGAGTTTGAATATCTCTTCCTTCTACTTAAGAATTTAAATTATCAAGTACCCATAGATCAAGAATTCATCTAATTAGATTGGGAATATGAGTTGAGGCAGGAAGGGGGTGAATAAGTAAGAGGAAAGATGGATGGATGGATGGATTGTGGAGAGAAACATGGTGATGAGGGAAGACGAGCAGGTGGGTGTGGGCATGTCACTTGCATTTGGAACTTTTATTTGAAAGAGAGATCAGATTCTCGTGAGGGAATAGTTTCAACTTTCAACTTGTACATGAAACCAACGGAGCATTGGCTTTATTCCATTTTCAAAAGGGTCTCCTTCTTATTCATGAGTGGTTGATCCTGTCTGAAATCAATCATCATTCAATGAATTCAATCCCCACTCGAATCTGTGTACTCCTTTTCTTAGTCATCATCCTTCAAAGTTCTAATAAATGATGCCCGTGGGGAGTTGTTTGGACATACGTGTAAAGTTAATGTGAATTCAACGAGCTCAACAGAAATTGTTTCATCATCATTATTAATCTCTAGCACTTTACTCTCTCCCCTCCTATTTCTGCTATCCCTTTAATTGAATCATATAATTTTATGCCGCAACACTGCAAGGTTACTCTTTTATTAAAAAATGTCTTTATCCGGCCTACAATCAAACGGGAGCATATTTATTCTAAGAAAGAGAGGGTTATAACTATGAAGGGCATTTAAAAAATAAAATAAAATAATGAATGCTTGATATGATTTATAAATGGTCTTATATTAATCATCCAGAAAATCTTTTTAAAGTCATATTATAAATAAGACCGGAGGCTACATGAAATGAGAGAGGATTCGTTTGTGTATGATTGTCAAAATTGATAATATCCAGTTCATTTTTAACAAAATTGACGTTAGTATTACATTTCATTTCCATTTTGATGTTCTTGAAACCATTATACATAGTAATTTATTAGAATAAGTTTTGAAAACAATTTTTGTAAAAAATATTTATTTGAATTATTATTCTAAAAAAATATGTTTAAAGTGGTGAAATAAGAGGTGCAAGAATGATACTTTATGAGCACAATTATTGCTAATGAAAGCATAATGTTATCCGTCACTTCTCTAATTTTGCATGATGAAATCATCAAAAAAGCTGTTTTAATTTTTTAGTTTTTTAAAGCAATTTTTTTTTCATAACATATAATAAAAACACATTTTCAAATAAAAAATATGTTCTTAAAACGGGAAATTTTTCATAACATATAATAAAAACACATTTTCAAATAAAAGATATGTTCTTAAAACAGGAAATCAACCCCCAAGCGCGGTTTATGTTCCAACAATTGCAGAATGTGATATCTCCTCGTCAACAAAGTTTTGGCTTCCTAGCGGACTGTGGGTGGATGACAGTTGTTGGGAGGAGAAGAGTCGGCAAAGGAGACCACTGCACTTTCATCAACCCGTATAAATTCATCACTTTTTCTTAACAACGTTTTTACATCTGTATTTTTACCAATCCCTGTAAAGATCTACTGTTCAAGTTACAGGCAATGTCACGATATCAATATCAACATCTATAGCTATTTATAATAAAAAATCACGGTCGCAAGCGACAAATGATCATATTTAGGATTTTTAATTAAAAAAATAATAATAAAATTTTCTTAAATTATATAAATGATAATTTAGTCTCTTAAAAAATTATAATTTTACTGAAACCTCTAGAGACTCCCGTATCAATAAATTTTAAAGTAAAAAGATCATTTTACCTTTATTGAAAATAACAAGCCTCAATTATACCATTTGTTTAAGGAATAATAACTTTTATTTTATAAATTATAAGAATTAAATAAAAAGTCACAACTTATTAAGTGTAATTTTTATCATTAAAAAATAAGTTCTCAAAATACTAAGTTTCAATCACCATTTTTGTTTAAAAACTAATAATTTTTATTTAAAGAATTACAAAAATTGAATAAAAAATCAAAACTTATTAATAAAGATAACGTGATATTTTTAATTTAAAATTTAGTGACAAAAAAATACATTTTAAAATATCAGATTATTATTTATATAGTTCATGAAAATTTCATTTTCATTTTCTCTTTTTAATTTCCGTGCAATCTGGAAATACCCATGCCATTAGAGTCAGACATGGCACATATAAAAACACATGACGATATGCAACTTCGGGTCATGGTTTTGTTATTTGGGCACAACATACAAATTCAAAACCAACCACGGCCAAGTTGGCGCATCCGTTTGTTAACTATTTCCGGGTGCACCCCTTATTTGGTTTCATTCCATAAAATGGAGGGCTCATTTAATAGGGAGAATTATATACTAGTAACATACAAGACAATTAATTATTATAAGATCTATTGACAATTAAATTAAAGCCATTGTGTGGGTCTTAATTTAATTGTTAATGGATTGTATTATCAATTGCTTTAATTTAATTGTTAATAAATTTTATAATAATTAATTATCTTGGGTAGGATTTCAACGTAGTTCTCCCTATTTAATATTAATATATGTTAGAAATGATAAGCAGCCTATTATGTCCCATATCAAACAAATATGGAGAGAGTTCTAGCCATATAAATAGATGTATTGTATACCCAATTGAGTCAATTTTTTAAAAGAAATTAATGGCCACATGACAAACCACTTGATAATATAAGAGAGAAGAAATGAGTAAGATTAGTTAAAAAATATTACATCTTAATTCAAAATCTTGTTTATGAGTCATTTTTCTTGTTTTACATTAGTTATTAAATTTAATTTTGTCTAATATAAGACTTTCTATATCATCCAGTCCATTCATATTTGGATAATCTCATAGTATATAAGAGGAGCAAAAAAATCTCTAGTACATAAAAAATAGAATGTATAATATTTTATTATTTGACAAGTTTCAATTTTCGAACTAAACTAAATAATAGACAGCGTGCGTTATATGTAATTTGAAAAGTGAGCTGTATTCTCCGATTAATGAATAAAACATTTTATATTAAATTTTATCGGCGCCATATTCTCCGATTACCGCTCCAGTTATGAGGCGTAGGAAAACTACCTCTAATCAGCACGATTTTGTTTCTTGAACGCTGTTTCCCACAAGCACAATCCAAAAACAAGCAGGTTTAGCTGGCCTTTGAATTCGAGCGAAAGCAAACATAAAAACACCAACAACAACAACTCTGTAATTCTGCATGAAACAGAAGCAGAAAAGCTATCGTACTGGACTAATCCAGCCCGATGGTTGGACCTCCAAAGCTGGTAGCTCGATGTTAATGTGTAAAGTTTTATATCATTTAAGCACATCGTTCTTATATTTTAATATACTTTAGCATAATTATGCATATTTTGAATTTTCAAATTAGGAATTGTGCATATTATTTTAAAATTTCAAACCATGGTTTTATTTTGGTTTTTTCAAACTAATTATTAATATTTTGATTTAAAGTTTGACTGAATGTATTTATGGACCTTTGATGGCACTTTTAAAAGGTTTTTTATGCAAAGAAATTAAGTGAAAAGGTGATAAGTCATGCTAATTAAGACAAGTGTCCAAAACAGAGCAAAATTGTGACCAAAGTAGTGACTTTACACGTGACTTATGTTGTTGACAGCAAAACGCTGTGCTTTATTTGGTTGAAAATGTTCAATGTACATACGTTGTTGGCTCAACTTAGAACACATTCTTCAAACTAGGAGCCTTTGTGTTAGGGTTTAGATACGGGAAGAGCTTGAAACTAAGGATTGGAGTTTTTAAAATATCTGGAGCTCATTTTATTTGATTTTTCTATTCTTTTTTCCTTTCCTCTCTTATATTCTATTATGAATCCAAATATTTTATGTATTTGTAGCTTACAGATAACTATAAATAACTAAGCACTTTGCTTTAAGATTATTTGAAACTCTTGTGTGTGTGTGTGTGTTTGTTTGTTTGTTTTACTCTTATTTTAATGCTTCTAAATAATTGGCTACCATTTAATTAATTTGTTTACTTGGGTGGGTGGGTGTTTATTTTACTCTTATTTTAATACTTCTAAATGATTGGCTACCATTTAATTAATTTATTTACTTGGGTGATATTCAAGAGGGTAGCTTAAGTATACAATTTGAGTAAAATAATGCAAGAATTTGAAGTTTGTATGTTGAATGAATGATTTTGTTAGTAAGATAGAGACATATTTACTAATTTTGCACAACCACATTATGATTAGAGCTTAAATTTGAGTTTTATTAATTGTAACAAGGGATTAAGTAATTAATTTAACTAAATATTTGTTTATGATTTGAAAAAGCTTAGTCAAACATTTTAAAAACTCTAGGTTAGTCCTTATTTTCATTAAAAATATTTTTGAAAGGATATAATTTTAGTATTATGAGATGCAAGGGGAATAAATAATCTTAGATCTTATTTTAATCTTGAAGTCTAAGAATTATTTATTTTTCTTTATTTTCTAGTTTTAATATAATTTACAAAATTAATTTTATCCAACTAACCGTTTTTCGTTCAACTTTATTAAAATTGTAAATTCTTTTAATTGATCATATTTTTAATATAAATTTGTGTGAATACGATACTCTACTATAACACACACACACTTGTGGAGAGTAACGTTTGGGTGCATTGTAATTCTGCATACGGTTTCGGGCTGGACGAGGTGCTAGAATTTTTTATATTGTTAAAACAAAACGAGCCCCTTGTGTTTGGTCGGTGGAGCTCAAGGAAATTGATAATTAAAATTAAAATTTGATGGAATGTGGATCCTCG